CCAAACCAACTGAGCAGCGCCCGTGGAAAAAGAGAGACCGCTTTTTGCACGCCTTTGTCTGCAGTTGACTAGAGTACATGAACATGCTAGAGAACTTCTGCGTTTCATAAAAAATGACAGCTATTGTGTGAATCAGTAGACAAGCATTGTTCGGATGGGTGGTGCTTGCCATGTTCGCCAGTTTGCTTGGCAGTTGGCTCAATAAGCAGCAAGACAAGTACCGTAGATTGCTTGCAAACGAGCAGTGTTCTTCATGCAACACGGTTGCAGTAAGACACTGAGCAGGGATCAGATTTGGCATGTGCACGTACGTCCAACGTTTGGCATTGTTTCTTGCAGGCCACATGGACAGGACAGGCATGCACGATCGTTTCACCCTCGTCTCGTGCAGATTTGTCAGCGTTCTAGCGGTGATTGGGCTTTCAATCGCCTCGATGAGGCTCTGGCATTCGTCCGATTGCACAATGCAGAAGATGGAGCCAAGCAAACCTGCAATCATGGCCGTTGGACGTGATGTTCCAGCTCCAGAAGCAACAAATTCGTCATGTGGCCGTTTGTGTGATACGTGTGAAGAGTTTTGCGTGCCTTGGAACTCACACTTCTTTGCAATGCTGAAGGATTGTGGCCATACTTGCAAATTGATTGCAGATGGTGAGAACGTCGTGCAGGGCCCTGGGAAGTTCGTTGACGAGATCCGAAAAAAGTTGGATTGCCAGAAGCTGTGGTTAAGCCCTCACATGGACGTGCCAGGCGAGGGTGAATTACCCCCAAAGCTTCATGAGTTGCCCGGACCCCTCAGGGAGATGTACAGTTACGGCGGCCTCGTGGACCTCAAAGACAATTACATGAATTCGAAGTACTATGGCAGCAAGAAGGACGTCAGCGGCCTTAAGCACCATTGGACCAAGGAAATGATTGAGGAACTCGTTTCTGAAGCTCATGAACACAAACTCCGAGGCACTTACGGTTTCAACGAAACACAATGCCTGGAAGCGGGCTTGAAAGATGCAGATCTTCGAGGAAAGAAGGTGCTTGTCATCGGGTCCGAAAGACCTTGGGTAGAAGCCTTGTGCCTCGAGCATGGAGCTTCTGAGGTCACAACTTTGGAATATGCCAGCTTGGTATCCAGTCACGATCGTGTGCACACGATAACGCCTCCCAAGATGGCAGCTGCAATGGAGAAGGATGTCCCGCCAAGCTTTGATGCTATTGTGACTTTCTCTTCCGTGGAACACTCAGGCCTGGGGCGGTATGGTGATGCTTTGAATCCATTTGGGGATCTGATCACCATGGCCCGAGCTTGGTGTGTTGCAAAGCCGGGGGCGAACCTGGTACTGGGCGTCATGAGCGAGGGTATTGGCAAGAGGAGATCCAAGATCCTCTTCAATGCGCATCGCTCCTACGGGAGGGTCACCTATGCACAGTTGCTTGCGAATTGGAAGCAAGAGACTTTTCATAAATGCGGTCAAAGCGTATTCACATCGACGAAGCTACCTGCCTTGTAAGGGATGGCCGGCTGCAGAAAACAGCTGCTGGTTTGCTGTTGTCGGCAGCAATGCGCTGAACCGTCACAAAATGTCAGCCCCAAGCTTGTTGTTACCTGCAAGCTTTGTCTCTGTAGGCCTCAGGTCAAATGAAGGCGGTGCATGCTGAAGAGCAGATCTTGGTGCCAGCTCTGAAGGAATCTGAAGGACGCCAGAGTTCTGCCACCCTACGTTCCCGGAAGGTGCGCCTGGATTCCGGGTCCAAGTTGGGCGGCTTCAGAGTTTGGTTCGCTTGGGCTGTAGGCGTGAGTCAAGCAGAAGCTGTCTGTTGCAGAAGCTTGTGTAAATAAGTAGATTCTCCACTTTGCATTTGCCGCGTCCGCGTCCTAGACTGT